CATGCACCCTATAGCAAAAACCTCTCAGAAAAAAAAAAAAAAGAACCTATTAATTTTACGTGAACTAGTTCTCTTCTCCAACACACTTCAGCAGAAGAAAATTGACTGAAGATTAGAGCCTAACACTGCCTTCATAACTAGCCATTGATGGAAACACCAATCTCTGTAGAATATTGGAGGAGGTTTATTCTGAGTAATATGAGTGACCATATCATGAGAACCACAAATTCAAGGAATCTTGAGAAAATGCTCCAAGAAAACTGTGTTACAGTAGTTCTTTCAAACTTTTTAAGTAGCTGAAGCTATAAATCAATGTCTCAAGGTTAAATATTGGCTTGGTGCCAAAAGAAAGAACATCTTGAAATAGGGGCTTATTCATCCTAGGTAAATTCAGAGATTCTTTAGTTTATTATTGACCAAAAGAACAAGGTTTTTTGAAAACTCATGGTGAACATTAAGAAATGTTTTAGCTAACCTTAACATAGATAAGGAGTTAATGAACCATTATGTGATATTAAGCCAGAGTCAGGATATGAGAGTCAGTAATTATTGAGATGAGGGGAACTGTTTACTAAAATTGATGATATATATGTGTAAGGTCCCTTAAAAAAAGTCCTTTTTAGAAAAAAAAAAGGTGGTCATAGTTCAGTCTTTATAGGCAACATCTGTAATTCGGATTATTGAGTGTAGTTTTATGTGGAATTGGATTCCTTTTGATAGGTCACAAATAATTGAAAATTAACAAGTTCAATTTATGTGTAGATACTAAATAATAACATTCCAAAAAGAATAGAGGGGTCTTTTCACTGTGTGTCAGATTCTATGTAGAGAGTACATACACATAAACATATATATGTGTGTATGTGTGTATAATACTGAGACATTTTCTTAAGTGAGTGAAAAAAAATAAAAGAATTACTATTTTAGTAACACCTTAAAAGTTCTAATCAATATGTAATTAAACAAATTCTTTTCTTTCTTTTATATGTATCTATTTTGTTTTATTTTTTAATTAAATTTAATCACATATATCTTTATAGTGTGTAACATTTCTTTTTTTCTTTTCTTTTTTCCTTCTTTTTTTTATTTAAGTTTATTTATTCACATTCATTCACTCTACATTATTACAACATACAAAATGAGATTTCTCATCCAGAGTACACGAATGGAGAACATTATATTAAATGATAGTACCCAGTCACAGAGGAGAAGAATCATGATGGGTAGTTGTATTCCTATTTTGCCTCTATTCACCCAAACACAAAGGTACCTCTACTGTAGAGCTAAATGTGATTGAAGTCTCAGGCAACACAGCTGGACTAATATCAGAGGCGAGTCCTTGTCAGATGAGCTGCAATGTTCTAGAATTTAATGCACTTATAAACCCACATTGAAGAACATATAAACTGCAAAGTATTTTGTTTTTAATTCTAATTATTCTAGTATGACATAAATCCTTGATTAAAATATTTTAAACTCTTACATAAAATATACAAATGTTTTTAAAAGTTTATTACATACAAATACTTGAGGTTCTTACAATGCCAGTACATTTGTCATTGCAAAAAGTTTGAGTACTGACCAAAACATATATCACTTTAAGTTTTAAAATTTTGTGACTATTTTACTAGAAAACAAGAGATGCTACTATGCTTCAAAATATTTCTTTTAACAGTTTTCTTAGTGAATCTGTGACTTGCTTATTTCTCAGACTGTAGATAACTGGGTTCAACAAAGGAATGATGACCACATAAAATAGAGAGTCTGTCATATCTTCATTGTCTACTTCTGGAGATCGAGGACGCATGTACATAAAGAGAACAGGGCCGTAGTATAAGAACACAGATGAGAGATGGGCCCCACAGGTGGAGAAGGCTTTCTTTATACCTTTCACAGACTTCTTTTTTAAGATGGTAAACAGAACAAATGAATAAGACACAAGAACAGTTATAACAGTAAATATCTGATTAAAACCAGCGAAAATAAAAATCATTAAAAAATTAATAGAAGTATCAGCACAGGAAATCTTTAGCAATGGGATAATGTCACAGTAAAAGTGATGTATTATGTTGGAGTTACAGAAGATTAATCTGAACATAAACCCTTCATGAATGGAAGCATGAACAATGCCACCCACAAATGACAACACTATCAGCCGGATGCATAGTCTGTTGGTCATAATCACTGGATAAAGTAAAGGTTTGCATATGGCTACATAGCGATCATATGCCATTGCTGCCAAAAGAAAACATTCTGAGGTACTAGCGATTGCAAAGGAAAAAAACTGAGTCATGCATTCAGAGAGAGAGATGATCTTGCTTGTGGCTAAGAAGCTGACCAGCATCAAAGGGATCACTGTGGATGACATCAAAGCATCTGCAAAGGCTAAATTCCCAAGGAATAAGTACATGGGGATGTGAAGGTGAGGGTCATTCCAGATGAGAACAATCAAACCAAGGTTCCCCACCATGGTGATGAGATATATGACCAAGAACACCAGGAACAGGGGGATTTTCCACTCTGGTTGATAGGTAAGTCCTGTGAGTATAAACTCTGACCATAATGTTGTGTTTTCCTTTTCCATATTCTTCTTACATGTCTCCTGAAATGAAAAGCAATAAATATCAAAAGAACACACCTTATAATTTGCTATAAAATGAATGAATATAGTCCACTTAGTGCTAAGTGAAGCAAGTCAGAGTATAAGAGACAAATATTGTATCAATATATCGCCACTCAGTATATACAAGTATCTGCATTGTACAGCAGCAATGGGAAAATTTAAT